TGCAAAGCATTATGCCAAATTCTACTTGTTAAATGAGGTATCGAAAGATTGGACGTTATATGGATTACCAACTAGTTGCAGTTCCTTATTGAACGCAAAAGTTACACTTTGAGCACTAAGTCGAGCGTGTTGCGCCCCGCTAGATCCACAAGCTCTGTATAAATCAGAGTCAATATGATAATAATTCTATTCGATTCACATTTTTTATCCTGTGTCTGGACATGTTCAGTATGTATTGTATCGAATTGCTCTGCTACTGATGAAACGCACTGGTCTGCAAATAAATTAATGATTAGCTCATGCGTATACTTAATAAGATAAAAAATGCCAAATTTGAAGAATTGAGCAAAATTGAAGAAGTTCATGCTCTTTGCTCTGCATGTTTTAGAATAATTGATATGGTGTTTTTATTATTCTGAATTATGGAAATAATATATTCGAGAGTCATGAACTAATATTTAAAGTTAGTTTGTATGCTTTTCCTTATATATCTAAGCGACGCAGTAGCATAAGATAATTTTCTCGGTTAGTTTGAGAAGAGATGAATACTTACCATCGTGCTGAATATAGATTCCAGAGAATACAATAGTGAACTGGCTTCTGTTTCTCACCTATTTACGCGAATGATCGTGACTTCTGTGTGATACCTATGCCTATTCGTCTATAGATATACGTATTACTATGCTTCATCTTTCTTTCTGCATCATTTGCCACTTGCTCTTTACGGTGAAAACATCACGATTACCTATAGAGTAACCTTAGTCGATGACGGAAATGATTGAATCCTGTCAAGAGAAAAAACTCTTTATCTGTCGATTAATATTTTCTAAATGAATAAATTGATAGACCTCTATACTATTTTTCGCATCACTTTATCATACATTAAATTGAAAGTATCATTTGAAGAACTCGAAGTGGTGAAAAAGTGTTTCAAGCGATCGTTTCAAGTAGCATGACAACAAAATGTCAAAAATCAATAGAATTCGTGAACATCTTGGTAAATACTTCTTGTCATCCACCGCGTGTAACTCATAACCATCAGAGCTCAATGAAATTCTTCATTTAGTGTTTACACGTATGCCAGAGTTACAGATAACCACTTGAATTTGAAGATGCAATTTGATAAAAAATGTTTCTACCAGCCAAGGATATGAGTGTACATAAGTGGCAATCTTCTCTTCACGTAGACCTGCCTAAGTGGATGATTACACGACCGTTTATGTTACAGTAAACAGGCCGTACAACGTCTTGTCATATACGATGAAACACAGCTATCGCATTCACCAAAATCAGTGCCGCAATGCGATCGTTGTGAGGTAGATATGATCGGATACGGCGACATTTACCACTGTATATCGTCGTGCTCCGTAATTATTAGGGTCACCAAAAAAGATTCCATCCATGAATTGGATAGATCTCCTTTTCATTGCCCACCTCCCTTATTTCGCCATTCAAACTCAACAAGAAATGAAAAAATATAACGAATATAAACAAACGCCTTTGAAGCTTCTTTCTTTTTCTTTACAACAAAACGCATTTTTATCCTTAAGAATCACCTGATACCAACGAATTTATTATTAAAACGCTTGACAACATGCCGCTCCATTTAAGGTTTTCATACAGTTGAAGAAACCATTTCATTTACAAATTAAAAATAGGTCGTTAAACGCTTTTAAACGTTTTTTCTTCATAGAAACCATGATATCTCGGTAGAAAACACGTAAAAAACAAAGCGCATCCATACAAGAAAGTCTTAAGATACCTTATTCTATCAAAATCTATACATTTGGATGATGAAACCATGTTATTTACAAAGTTTCAAAAACACAGCCTTTAAACGCTTTTAAATGTATATTTTGAAAAACAACTCGAATATCTACGTTAATACAATTCAAAACCATGTGGCAAGGCGTTTTTTGAAAGCGTTCTGGGTTTGTCGTAGAAATCATCTAAAATATAGCGATCAGTTACAAAAAGCATTAAAATACCTTGTTCTATCAAAATCCATGCATTTGAATGATGATATCACGCCATTTATGATGTTTAAGAAAAAAACACCTTGAAAGATGTTTTTTTTTCAAAAGCAGCTCTGATAACTGCGTTGATATCATCTAACACAATGTAATGAGTTACAAAGGTCTTATAATATCTTACTTTATCAAAGTCTATGCATTCGGATGATGCAACTACATCATTTATGAAGTTTGAAAAAAAAGACCTTTAACACTTTGACGACTAGCGTATTTTATGCAGCACACTTATTTTTGGGTAGCTTGTACACGCAAAAAGATATCGAGATGCAGTTTGCTCTATGATATAGGCGAGACATCTGCGCAAACATCTATGTAAGAGTTATAACGCAAATGTGGGCAGCCAGGTGATAAACCTGATGAGTTTTTGGCACACCACATCTAGAAGGAGTACGAATAATGCCCTTGCGCGATGCTCAAAATATTTTGGTTTTCCACGTTGAAATCAAACTACGAATGACTTCCAATGGTAGTCCAAAGGTTGATTTTACGACAGCTTTCGAAGATTTTTTACAATTTTTGATGAAAACATCAACAATACACATCGACAATATTAAATATGATTTTCAAAGATATTTTCTCCATTGGCTGAGCAGTGGTCTTCAAAGGGTTAAACGTCTTTGAAGGCGTTTATTTGAAAACAGCTCTGATTTCTCTTTAGAAATCATCTAAAAATGTCGTCAATTACAGCAGGGCCTTAAAATGTCTTTTTCTTTCAGAATCGATGTATTGGCACGATGCAATTCCGATTGTTTTCTAAGTTTCAGAAAGAAACGTTTAAGGAACGTTCATACTCAAGTGAGAAGTTTTCACTTGCACAGGTGTGTGTTCGTAGTTATAGGTGTGAATCGTCTTATTGAAGCTTGGTGCGATCCGTAGATAATTGAAGAAAGTCTGGTGAAGTCTGTGATTACTAAATACCTTTTTTCCGAAATCTCTGAGTCTACTTGCTCTAATCTGTGTTCAGACCGGAAGGAACTGGAACGTGTGGTGGCTATCCTATATATAGGATGGGTTCTGTCGGAATGTGAATAGTCTGCCCGGACATGTATAGCCTGCCTGGTTAGAAGTAGTCTGTCCGGATGTGAATAATGCGTATAGTTTTGAATGGGTCGTTCTTAATGTTTGGCGTACTACTTAATAATAGCAGAAGAAGCTTTAGGTATACAAAGCAGGTTTCATTTTAGGATTATCGGTAACCTGAATCTATGAAGCATATGTCACTTCTGAAGAGCTGCCTGAAAATCTATTAGCATTACCTGGAATAACATAAGCATTGCCTGGCATACTATTAGCCTTCCCTAGAACGCTATTAGTATTACGTTGGATGCTAGTAATATTGTCTAAGATGTTAGTAGGATGACTGGAGATGCTATTGCAATCAACTGAAATGCCACAGGGATTTTTTTGAAATAGACTGTGAAAACCTATAGACGTACATATACTGAAAATGAAAATAATACAATGTTACGCCTAACACGGTGATCTAATCAATTTTTTAGTGGCACGACTAACACGTTATTCTGAATGAGTAATGTGGATGGAGAGTCGGGAGCAGTAACATCGTTTAATACTAGTTCTTATCCTTATTGGAGAAAACCGAACCGAAACGACCATTTACGCTGAAGTACGATAAAAACCGATGGATTTTCTTTAAACGTTTTACAGCTGACATATACGATGGCTTACGATTGTGTTCAACGATCGTTTACAATCGCCGTAGTTTCACAGTAGTCGTAAACAATGAACACCTACATTAGTCGTTTACGATGGACGTAATACAACGATCGGGCATCATTGATCTGGGTACACTCTCATGTTCATACCCTTTCTCGAGTGTTAATCTCAAAAACAATGCATCGACAGTACTCGATTCTTTCGTCATAGATCAAAGCCCAATTCCATGATTACAACAACTGTAAGCGATACAATTACAATCGTATATGGGCCATATCTCATCCATTTGTTTGCAGGCATATACGATGATCGTCATACACTGTAAAGCATGGTATATGAGTACTGTAAATGTTCACCATACACTGCTGGAAATGACAGATCTGGGAAGAGGCGATGTTAATCAATTTATTCGACATCTGATATTTCTCGAGTAAGCCAATCTTCTGAAGGTTTTATTAGTGTAGTACAAAATAACTGCCTTGTCATTCCTTAAGCAAATAATACGTGAGCAAATGTAGAGAGTCTTCACTTATATAACTAAATCCACTTCTTGATGAAGCTCTATGAAAGTATCATCGGGTGTTCATCGAGCTTCTGTCATCTCTTCAAGATTGAAAACATGATTTAAGATGCGGTGTTGATGGATTTTTGGTAGATAAAAATAACTAATTGAGCAGGGAAGCAAACTCACACAAAATTCATTCGATGAATTCGAACGATTATAAAAGTGCAGTTCAGTATTCTTAAGCAACACTAATGATATAGCGATCTAATTGCAGAAATCGTGATTCACAAGTCAGTCTACTATATATTGATTATTTTAATCTCTAAATGTAGCAGTCTTTATTCTCTAAATTTAGAGAATAGAATATAGAATTTATGTGGGTTTATCTGAAAAAGTATTTGAATTGAAAAAACAGTTTAGCTATCCTCATCTTTTGACCTTTTAACACAAAACACTGTTTGTTGCACATTGTTCATATATTCACGAAGGAAGATAATTGCAAAAAACACAGAATAAGTCAAATAGTTCGTATATGCATGCAATATGAAAGAAAAAAGCAAAACAACCGTCAGGTCTACGCCAAATCAACAAATTATTATGACATAATATTAATCGTTCAGAATCCATGAGTTAAAAGAATTTATTATCATCATTCCTTATGGTCATCATCACACTTCTGGTAACATATATTTTTAAAAGATCTAACTATCCAATTTTATTCAATAATTCATCTTCTGTCAAAGGAGATATTGCTCCAAATAACTACTGATCATAAAATGAAGGAGAAAATCATCAAACCATGAACAAAACGAAAAAATCAAAGTATATGCAAACATTTTCTTTTCAAATGTTAACTGAAACTTCGAAGATATTTTTTTATACCTACCTGAAAATCCTAACAGCATTTTTTGTAAAGCATAACTGTTTTCATCATGTTATGACCATACTCAAATGAACTTTGAATCTTTTCTGAAAATAATCTAGCAGTTAGAACAATGCCTATTTTTCATTGAAGAATCTAGTGTAGTGCATGTTATCGATTATGAAAAAAAAGGAATAAAATAGGAAGTTTAAGTAAAATTTCACTTGTGTCACATGGAAAAAGAAAAAGTAAAAACAACCAAGTCTATCGATAATGAAAACGTCTCTCAGACGTTGAATGCCAGTAAACGACGGAGGACTGGATCGTTTTTGCATCTAAAAGAAGAGCATGGTTAGTGGATGTTTGAGAACGTCGTCATATACATACCCAGTTATGAACTCATACTTGTTCAGTTTTTTATCTCCACCAACATCAAGTCTACTAATGATTTCCGTAGCACGCTTCTTAGGATCATTGTCTCCTTTTCGATCGGTTTCGCCCCGTAGATCATACTTAAAATAGACATATTTTGCCTCATAGAAAAACACGAACGAACGTAGAAATATAGATATCATACCGCAGCCGAAATCATTGTAACCAATTCTTTTTGATTGATTTGCCCATCATCTGAAGTGTCGCAACTATAGGACAGAAAAATTATGTGTAATCAAATGCAATCGAACTCACATATCGAATGCAACTTCGAGTCGATCATCTAAATCACCTTGAGATGTAGCAGCAACAGCAAGGAGATATTCATTGAAATCAATTACTCCATCATGATTAGCATCAAACATTGAAAAGGCAAGCCTTAAGTAGAAGAATAAAATAAGATGCAGTAGAAAAAAAATCTGTTGACTTACTGGCAGTAAGTATCTGCTTTGCCACCTGGATAAAACTTTTTGTATGCTTCAACAAATTGTTTTTTGTTGAGTTTGCCCGTTGGAGACTCACGAAGAAAAGTCTAGAAGCGAAATGGATATTACGAATACAAGTATATATACAAATAGTTACGGCATGCCACTCTTGGATGTCTTTAAAAAAAACAAATAGAAAAGCTACATTACATATATGGTCTTTGTTTTCCTACCCTTATCAGTATATTCGGTAGTCGCTTTGAGCATTGCAATTTCTTAAATAGAAAATCATCATGGCAATGCTAACGAAAGAAATAATTAACTAACGTTTAGGTGTCAGTTCCGTTGGTGGTCCTTTTTTGGAGCCTTTGCTGCCCATGATGGATATTGTTTTTGATCGATACTAGTGAAAAGATTAACAAAGCAGAAAATCTAAAAAGTAAATCATACGAAGAGGCAGTAAATACTACAACAAAAAGAAATAAATAAAAGTATGGCGGAACAAGTTTCTTCGTAGTAAATTCGATAAAAGGAAGAGGAAAAGCTTGGAGATTCAGTACTTTGATCGAAAACACCTCACTGTAGTTTTCTCAGTCTAGTAAATGAAGGTCATAGATGTTCGCATATGAAAAGGAAACCGTGGAACATCGTTTTAATGCGAGAGCCTTGAAAGTAACATTTCCGATTGAACTTCGTGTGTGTCACTATCTACTCTTACTGCTTGATCGAACTAAATGCTCATACATGTTAGTTACATTTTTTTTGTCGTTGTCATGCCATTGCCATTATCACATGCTGTCTTTTCTGTGTTCCTACTCTTCCTTTCTCGGATGCTCTATCCTTCTTTTGTCATGTACTCAGTTCTTTTTTATGTGTCCTTCGTGTTCACATTCTTTGTCGTTCGTTCGTAACTACGTATCAGTGAGCATATCTCTCTCTCCTTGATTCTTTTCTTCTCTTTTTTTTCTAGTTATTTGTATAACATGCATTGGTGTATGTGGGTGTGCGGTTTTGTAATATGAAGATAGGCATAAACTAAAATTCTACCCAAATTAACAGTTTTTCTATCGGAAATCGCTATATTGAGAATGTCGTATTGCTTAGGATTCACCACATCAAGAAAAGAACTTATAGGCACTAACGAGCAAGATATGAAAGTTCAAAGAAAGAATAATATATACTGTGTCTTTTCATGTTATGAATAGGTTAAAATAAGATATCTCATACGTCAATTATCGCATTTTTCTCTCTCTAAACAAGTTTTAAATAAAACGAAAACATTAAATATCATGAGACATCTTGTAAGCTTGTCTTACCTGAAAGAGATAAACAATGAACAAAGAAAAGAAATTCATTTATTTTCTTCACGATATTCTTTTCGAAAGAAAAATGAAGATATAATGAGAAAATATTCTATAGGATGTGAATGTGAATCGGAATGTGTGGATCTTATCTTTTCCCGCACCACACCCATGGTCATACTCACACTCTTAAAGTTTCCGAATAGCAAGATTTACTTCCTCGGCATAACACTAACCAGAAATGACAATAAGGATATGATCACTATTTGACAGTTTAAAAAAAGGAATTGCAACAGATACACTACTAAGTTATAATGCTTGCTACCCAAAATCATTAAAGCGAAGTATTGTATTGAATATGGCGCCAGAAATTAAACGTTCAACAAAAAATAATAAATTACAAAAACAAGATTTAGAAAACCTTATATCTGCGCCAGAATTAAAGAGATATGGATGTAGGCTCAATAATTTGACAACATTAATAACTAGCAACCTGCAGATTTCAATGATCGAGTGAGGATATTTTGGAGGGTCTTTTTTTCTGAAACGATATAAGACGAACCTATTTTAAGGGTGTTGATTATAAGCGATTTAATTGATTAACTTCTCAACTCTTAAAGTTGAGGAAAGTGAATTGCGCATCTATTTGGTCATGTTACTAAAAATTCTGTTGATTATAAGGGAATTTATTGTTTTTTTATCACAATGTTCTTGAAGCGGAACACTTTTTTTCATGCATTTTTTTTGAATGTTTGGCGAAGTTGATGAACTTTAAAATAGTTTCATCTGGTATAGTATCAGACTAAAAGACGTCCCAAAGTCTTATCAGTCGACCACTGAAATCCGTAAGCCGCTAGCTATTACCCTTGTCGAGTTATTGAGCTTGCATTCGCTTCTCTTTGATTCTGGTGTTGACATCAGTACAAATACTTTTAAAACATCTGAATATAATTCTTGTCTCAATTTAACTACACAGACAAAAACAAACTCGCTAATATAAAAGGTGATTGTGCAGCAACATATATTGGTGGAAGTGTATGAGATGCCTAATTAGAGTGCGAATGTATCCATGGTTTCCTTTGTACGCTATCACTTGGAAAATAAATGAAACAAAAAGGGCTTTCATATAATTATGGCAAAAAAAGCAAAAGTTAAAATTTGGTTCGAGTTCGAATTCTCGAATTAAGATTCGGCTCTCATATAACTACAACAAAAAACAGGAATAATATCTTTCCGAGTAATATTTTTGGTAGAGTCAAACTTGTTAGTGTAGTAATAAATGTTACATTTTTTTATTATTTATGCTATAACTCAAAACTGTCATCATCAATAACCAGTAAGCACAAGTACGTTTCTCCGCACAACTGAATTTTTATTTCAGCGTCGCAACATGCCGGCATGAAGCGCTCCTCGAAGAGCCACGGTCCATGGCCGTCTCTGTCTACACAGTAATGGCAAACATTAATGTCATGCTAGCATTAGTATTCAGGGTAAAGCTACTGCTTTTGTATTAGCAATAATGTTCAGCATATGTGTTTTTGTATTAGTCAGATTCCACTTAGTTGAGGTCGAGATGTAACGAACAAGTAAGCATCCTTTTGTTTTTTAGAAATATTCTCAGTCTTACTCTTGCGGACTTATCTAGTCATACTAGCTCTTTTTTGAGGTTCTTCTTGAAGCGCAACTTGCTGCGTTTTAATTGATACGTTACCACCACAAGCGAAGCATTTGTAATGTCTTAGAAGGTGAATAGCAATCTGTAGCATTTCAGATAGTAGCTTTGTGATTACATTTGACGTCATATTTTAAGAGATGATGAATTTAGCATCTCAACTGATCCCTGTAGCACCTTAGCTAGTGTGTCTAGCAAGACACGGCATACAGAATATATTAAGAGTTATAATTCGAATAAGTTTTTTTTCTGTATTTTTGTCAGAGTGATATGAGAACCTAGTCTCAATTTAAGAATTCAAATTCAAACTAAGTTAAACCTTTTGATTTTTTGCCGTTATTATGTGAAAGTTTCGTTTCAACTATAACTTCGAATTCGAATAAAATTTGATCTTTTATTTTTGCTAAGAAGAAGCTGGTGTGCTTTTGAATTGTTTCATTTATATTCGAACTCGAATTGGGCAGCTACTCTGAAATAGAAGTACGATTAACCAAAAGAATCGTACAAAGCGAAAAATGTATTCAAAATTATGAAAAACAATCTATTTTTTCGAAAATATACAACATACTCACAATCACAGCAATGTATGTAACATCAATGCATGAGCGACTATCGTTATAGAAAAATAAAGACTAAGAAAAAAACGACTGAAACAGGTATATATTCAACCATAAACCATTTCGTTAGTCAGCATGATGACATCAATGCAACGTGTTTACCACGTATGCACAAAACCTCAAAACCAATCAAGATGATCATCGAATAAAACAGATGGCCTTAGAGGAAAAGACGGTAATGGTAGGACAGCGCCTAGAGGATATGTAGGTTTAATCGTTAGTATTACCGTCTTGTCGTTTAATTTTACTTTTAGAAAAATGAACAATAGACAGACATGTAAATAGGAAAATATACGCTTAAGTTAAATATAAAAGCAAAAGTGAACTGATGAAGAAGATAGGAAGCTTTCTGAAACGCTTTCAATAATAAAAGCAAGGAATAAATAAGTATAAATCTAATATCAACTGGATTATAATCCTAATAGATTTCATTAATCAATAGATAGATAGTAGATGCGCTCTGTATATACGTTGATTCCACGAAACAAATTAAAGTAAAAGTACGATTTAAATCAATTTTTTGTAATAATTGTAATGTTTTATTCATTGACTGAAGTTAGTGAGAAGTCGTTGAGAAAAATTATAATTCATAAAATAATTTATTCCTATTGATTGTAATTTCAACTTAGTTTCACTGTGAACACCGTTTAAAGAAATCAACCAGATTAAGAGAAAGTATCGAAATCATGATAGAGGCAAATGAGATTGTGTGATGGTGAATAGATTTAGCATCAAAACGTAGCTGAAAATAGAGATTAAAGGTTTTCAAAATAGAATTTTCTGTTATTAATTGTATTGTTGTTATAATGTCCTCAAATTTGAGGCTTATTATATTAACTTCTTTCTTTTCTAAATAAGTATGAAATAGTACACGAAGATCGTTCATCAGCTAGTGTGTAAGGCCATTGCATGTTATTACAATGCTTCGGTGATAGTTAGATCGACAAAAGACGAAAGTATGGGAATTTATTACTTTATTTTTTGGCCACATCTCGACTGAAGTGCTGCATGATATGTCCATCTAAAGTTGAATACCAAAGTGATACCAACAATATCTTCAGTTTCGTTGATGTCATTTGTTTTGGAGCAAGAAGTTCAAATGCAGACGATCTACAGTGTGTCGTCAACTACTGTCAATATTTTTCAGAAGTTGACATGTTGAATATGTTCATTAATCAGACTTGAAAAGGAGCACCAGTTTGTGTTTTGGTACCTAACAATCAGACCATACAATGAAAATGATGATTGTTATGTTGTTAGAGTCGAAAACGTAAAGAAAAATGCGTGAAAAGAAACATTTTCATGTTACCAGTAATATAGATATGCATCTTAACTGATGACTCGAAAATTGATCAGTGTTCACAGTGACTCCTAAAGCTCTTATGATTGTTTCACTACATCATACAGTAACTGTAACAACAGATAATGCATCAACCAGTTAAGAGTCAAATGCAAACTAGAGTAAAAATTTGGCTTTGACTTTTATTCTTCAGTTGTGATCAGAATCCGCAAGTTTGTCTACTTTCTTTATCTTCTCTATAGAGCAATACATCTAGTATTTGCTTTTCTATAACGAAAACCGAAAGTAAAACATTAACTACATCGAGAGATCAAAAGAATATTTTTCAACTGACCAAATGCATTCATGTATATTACTATAAGATATTCGATCGAGTTAGTATTAACGATTCCATTGTTTTCTCACTTAATAATTTTTTTAACACCAGATCATTTGTTATTTGTTACATCGATAACAAAGAAACATAGATATCAAGGAATCATATCCAAATGTAAACTTGGTTTCAGACTCGAGTTCGATAGCACTATCCATCAGATTAGAATACATCTAACATTCTCAGCTTTTCACTATTCTCCGATGACTTTTATCAACCTTGTCTTGAGTAATATGAATACCTTTTGCAGCTTAACTTCATTTATTTCTTAGTATCGCTTTCTTAGGAAACAGCTAAGATTAATCATGGAGGAAAAATCAAAACTTTATGCACAGCATCAAAAAATAATAGTAATATATGTCCATTTATGAAAATGAAGGTATCACTAGACAATAGAAATATAATGTGAAAATATGGAGGAATGATAAATCAAAACACTTGACAAGATGATGGAATAAAACAATATCAATTTCAAAAAAATATAAAGAGTGAGATAATAACATAATGAGATATAGTTATATGATTGAGAAAAGAACATACTTACGAGTTGATCGATCAGTAGCCATAACGAACTATTTCTGACCTTTGCTGAAGCAGACAAATAATCACTACTTTGTCTTTCGCTAGTATTCACTGGACAGAAAAAGAAAGTGTTTTGCAAAGAACACATTTGTAGAGTAGAGATCTATCTAGGAATGTGATGGTTCAAAAGATCGTATGTTCAAAGCTTTGCTTGGACAAGCTCAGCTATTTCTTAACTACCAAACTAATTTAAAGGATCAAAATTACAAAAATTAAACTTAACCTTGCAACAATTGAATATTTAAAATACTCATATGTATCATTTTTCTTGGTTTAGTGTATTTATCAAAAACAAAAGTGTACGAACTTAAAATATGTATGTTTATTGCACAATACATATTCCATTTTCATTCTGTGTTTTTACACGATACTCGAAATTCTATATGCACTTTTGTTTTTAAAGGTCATTATCAGTTAGTTTCTTTGTTCGATTGGTTGACTTCAGTTCGAAAATTCTGTTTTACAAGAATTTAGATTAACGTGATTCTTGTTCCTTGTTTACTTTCAGTTGTTGAAGAAATGAAAATGAGTTTCAACAGAGTTTTCTTTCACATTGTTAAATATTATTTAATTATTCTGGTTGTTATTTTTTTCAAATGGCATCTACTGTACTTTATAAGAAGAAAAACAGCTAAGCCTAATATCTTTACGTTTTCTTGATGTCAGCTGCATGAATTTCAATATAAGAAAAAATTAAAAAAGCTTCTCAAAAGTTCATATTGAATAAGAAACGATGACAACAAGATTATTTTCTTCAAAGCTGAACATTGTCTTTAGGGACCCGATTATTGGCTAGATGATATGGTTATGTAGAGAAACAAATCGACAGATAATATTTAGTCTTATGTTTTAAAATTACTGTCCGTTATCAATTGTATACACATCGTCTCTAAGAAAGAAACCTCATCTAGAATCTTTTTAATAAGGAAAAGTCGTATGTGTCACATATAACAACATGAATATGATCAATATCAATTGCTATTGGTGTCCTATTTTTTTCTGATACTTCGAAATGTCACAGGCATTGGTTTTTATTTTATTGTCAACATTATTTCATTCATACATTTCATAACAGGTTGTTAAGCATCTAAAAGAGAGTAGCATGAATTTAAAAGCTTGACTCTTTCAAAGAGAAAAAGAAAACAAGAACAGTTAGAAAATATTTTTTCACAAGCAATTTCAATAAGTGATAGGTCAATGTTATTTTATGCTTTCGACAAACATGGATGCCTATCATGTTTAATGTCATAGTTTGTTTCTGAACTCTATGTTAAAAAAAAAATCATACTTGCACAAACATATCATAGCTCTGTTGTTCTCATATCGTTGGTACTAAAACTACCATGACAAAATATCTTGCTATTTTCATCTGTAATTTGTAAAAACAATCATATATCATAGATTGATTCAAAAGAACAGTTTGAGTTAATCAATCAGAAATAATTTTTCATTTTAACGTAGGCACTTATTGTATGCAGAACAGAAACGAGCATGGCTCTTTGAAATATAATGCACAAATAAGCGGAGGTGCCTTTAACAGGGGGAGGTGTGCCAGACTATGTACAGATCATAGCAAAGAGAAGCCTGTTGTATTAAACCATTACCTAAGCTCAGTAGTGACATGAAGAAAAAAGTGAAAGAATGGTAATCACAGCTGAAGATACATCTCAAGTGTCAAATAGTCATCTGCTTGGTAGCCATATGTTCTGTGCTATATATCTAAATTTTGCTTTCATAGCTATTTATTTAACGAATAACAGCACAATACAAGTTCATAAACGAAGATTTTGAAAACGTCTCTTCTATGCCCATCGTCCAAGAATAGCCATAACTGCTGCGCCAATATACAGAGCAATAAAATATAAACATTTCACACGTTTTCTCAATTGCAAAAATCCATGTGCTCCAACACCCATTTCACCGGCCATCAAATTGACCAAAGCAACATAGATCAAAATACCACTTGAAACTGAATCCAGAACACCAGTCGTCATCAATGCAACTAATGATTTTGGATTGTATGTATTCAAATGAACGCCAATACCGATAGCAATACCAACTGGAGTAGTGAGAGCAAAAAATGACACCATGAAAATAGCTGGTAATATCGATTTATTATTGAGTTGTGAAATTTGTGCACCAAGTGCAATAGCTTCGAAAAATTGATGAAAACAAAGTGTGATAAAGAGGACAACAAAATGTGAACCATCATCAGTACCCAACGCCACACCAATGAGAATCGAATGTGCAGCAATACCAAACTCAAGTAAATAAGTAGTGACACGATGATTGTGACTATCTTGTAATAATGATAAACCATGACTATGACCATGTTGTTGACTACTTTCAATTGGTATTATGGCAGATTGTGTTTGAGCCTCTTCAACTACGACGTTTGTCTCGTGTATTAGTACCCTTTGTAATTGTTGGCGAGCAATGAATTCGATGAGTTGCATGGCCAATATAGCTAGCATGGCAAATAAACCTGCATAGGCTTCATATTCTTTCCAACCTTCTGGCAGACATTCATCTGTTAATGCATTCATAGCTGCTGGCAAGATGTGAATAAATGCGGTAGCAAGAATCACTCTAGAAAAGAACAAGAAAATACTTGAACGAATGCTTTTTTTCGAACAATTCGAAAGTATACCCAGTGCCAAAAAATTTTCCCGTATTAATAATCGTTGCTGGTATATGTAAGCGTTTGCTATAAGCTGAAACTACGGCAATGGAAGCACCAAGAAAAGAGACGATCAGTAGAACAAAAACGGATACAATTCGAAGTTTCAGATTATACAATTCATTTTCTTCACCAGTAGGTTCGCATGAATCCGAAGTAGAGTTAACTAATCTTAGTTGAACATTTCCAGAGAGACCTGTTGGTTGTTTCATGCTGTTTTTTTCGACTTGTAATACTAGAACGTATCTAGAAAGAATAAAGAGAAGGATAGCTTAGTTTCTAGTCTAAATAAAGTGTGACAAGATGATGAAGAAACATTCTGTCTTATAATAATTGCATTCGTTGGTATACATCGAAACTAGCTTTAACAACTTCATTTTGGTCCTCAAATTTAAACATGGATACATTTATTTTTATTCATCAACTTTATGTACATTGATCAACAATAGGTGATGATATTGGATGTGTCAACTCTTCAACGTGCAACTAATATGCTATAAACTACCTAGGCGTCGATGTTGTTTTTTTTTTACAGATTTTTCTCTCTGCTGCTGATTTTTCGTTTGATCAATGTATAGCCCAAAACTGTCGTGAATGCAAACAAGACATATGTACTTTCATCTTTTTCTCTCACGTATACGATACTGCTTCCAATCGGCAAGATTTACTTTCGACAGTTCTCTTTCGAATGATTGGAATACGTATATTGAATACAAAACAGCAAGCTTTGAAAAGTTTTGATAGACTCTCAGCATGAGTGTATGTGCAACCTGATGAAAATTTTTATTATTTGGTTGAATGCGAATTTCTTTTCAGAGCAAGCGAAGAAGAAAAAAATGCCTGCAAAAGAATAAATGATATTGTTGAATCCAAATTGATGGCAAAAGTCGACAAGGAAACCGTCGAATAGTCAACACATCGACAAGCGAAATGTAGAAAATAAAAACATCGAAAGAATAGCATAGAATAAATAGATGTCTACAGTGTACATACGTTTATCCTTTCGACCTGTAATTGCCTATTGCTTCATTGATTCGCTTCTTCTAGCTTAATATCATATGTAGTCATTTATAGATGCGGATATGGGTATATGAGTGGGTGCAAGTACCGATATGGATGTAAATAAAGAGAAGATCAATACCCATACCGTCATCCCAAAACCCTACACTCGGTCTTTGTGCAACTTAGGTTTTTATCGCATAGCCGTGAACTTAGTGTAGACGTGCATACGTATGTTATGTCTCAGGTGCTAATTCTTGAGAAGCAGATGCCATCATTTTATTAGAAAATGAATATTTTTCCAATCATACCTCATAAATGTTATAACGAATAAGATAATTGATGGCATGGGGTAATGCAAAACATGATAGCGAATTCGATTTGTCAAATAACATACCGAAAGATCGAACGTTGTATGTCTTGCTAACTACATGCAGTTTATTATTGAACTCAAGAGCTGATATTAAAAGCAGAGTTACATTTTGAGCACTACCTCGTGCGTGCTTTGTCCCGCTAGATTTACAAGTTCCATATAAATCTGAGTCAATATGATAATAATTCTATCTGATGCACATTTCATATCCTGTGTCTGAACATGTGCAGTATATACTGAATCAAATTGCTCTGCTACTATTTAACTGCACTAGTCTGCAAGTTCATTCATGATTAGTTCAAACGTATAGTTAATAAGAAAAGCAATGCCAATTTTGAAAAATTTAGCATGATGAACGAAATTGATATTCTCTCTTTCCTTATGTATCATTTTCTTCTTGTTCTTTTGCGTGAATGCATCACGATTACTTACAGAATAGTATTAGTCAATGATGGAAACGATTGAAATCGTACCAAGAGAAAAAAAAAACACTTTGTCTTTGGATCATTATTTTCTAATGGAATAAACTGACAGATCGGTATACTAGTTTTTCTGAGAACCATGGCCTCTTATCGATATTCGCATCATTCTATCCAATATTAAATTGAAAGTATTATTTGAATGACTCGTAGTGATGAAAAAGTGTTTCAATCGATGGTTTCAAGTAGCATGAAAATAACATGTCAAAAATTAACAAAATCTCTGAACATTCTTGGTCAATAGTTCTTGGCATTCACTGCGCGTAACTCATGACCGCCAGAGCTCACTTAAAATTTTCATTTCATGTTTACATTCATGTCAAAGTCATAGATAAATGTTTGAATTTGACGATGCAATTTTATAAAAATGTCTTTACTTGCAAAGGACATAACTGTACGTAGGCGCGAAGCTTCTCTCCACATAGATTTTCACATTCTTTCTGGAGATTGGTCTTGAGAAAAATCCATCGATAGACTTCGATTCTTTCATCATAGATGAAGCGAATGCACAGGATTACAGCCACTATAAGTGGTACAATCACGACTGCATACGAATCATAATCCACCCATCAGATAGGGATAGTAATACAGTCGTATGATGTCGTATCATGTATGGTGAAACACCTGCATCATTTATAATGACACATGCCTTAACATGACAGTATCCACTAACGTGAAAGACGATATGTCTCTGTAATACATCGTATCTCGACTATGAACGTGAGAGACTGAACAGAAATACACCGCTACAAAGTTATACCGAACAAAAAAATCACTAAAAAGATACCCTATCCGATATATAATGAAACAGAAATGAGGCATGTCGAGAGAAGGCTTTGTTTACAAAAATCTATATTTATGGATAAAGATCAACTTATATCAAGGTGCTGCTTGAGGCTTTTCAATGGCTTCTTGTATAAAAATTCATTCATTGAGATTGAAAATCACCTTATCTAGAGCTATAACAAAGTAAAATATTTTTAAAGCTTTCAAACATTTTGCCTTTATAGGTAGTAATCGTTAGCTTTCGCTTTTCAATTTTGGTAAAACTTTCATGCGATAAATTATATATTTGTCAACGTTTTGATGCAATACATCGTATTTAATTAGAAACCGTTTCAGTGTCAGACAGTTCAAAATAAAAGTCTTTAAAGACATTCTATGAAAAAAGATATGGCTGGCATTCGCACCGTGGAGTTTGGGAAATAGAGTGGATTAGAAATGTCTCTTTCATCGATGAATATTACATATATATAGCGCTCAAGTTGTTAGGTTTCAGGAAGCGGAAATAAAGTTAGTGAGAATCTTTTTGCAAAATAGTTTTGAACTAACGCCTGAAACATGTTTTACGTGTACAGATGTATTAAGAAAAGTATAAACGATCTTTGGCTGTTATATTGATCTGTTCAATATCCTAGCTGGTCAATTACATAAATGCTCTTGTCTATGGATAATTGATCAGTTTTGAACAATTTATATTTCAACTTACTACGACTTATGTCAATATGAATAATAAATTGAATTGTTTGGTGAAGATCCCATAAACTGGGTGGAAATTGTCTGTTAGTGAATAGTTTATTCATAATGTATGTCGTATTAAATGATCATTGTGTGTCGATGTTTAAGGTCACAGTAATTTAAAATGTGGTGTTTTCCGAATATTAGATGATAATTTGATCAATCATAAACGAGTTACTTGGATTCATATTTCTCCTTAATGTAATGCTCACCTATATCAAGTGTTTTTATGCAATCTTGTGGATGGTTTCGAAGACCTTTTTCGGTAATGGTTCTTCATATCTAGGGTTATAAACGTCTAATGGCTTTGACTAACAGATTATGTTGAATCAATATGGTCAATACTTCGCAAAGAACTCTTCACAATCTGCTTGATGCTATTAACGTATCATACTCGCCCATTCTTAATATTATCGTTTACTTCCCATGTTATTGAGAACGGCCAATGAACGCGTGTCAGCACGTTCGTTATAGAGTGTACGTGTGTCGAGACGTGTCGCCACGCGTTGACTAATTTTCGTACGTGACGATATGCGCACGGCGGGTATTGTGTCATCTTGAGGGAGGAGAAAAAGAAAAAAGACAGTAAATGTCCATTATTTTAAACGACGAAATAGTCGACGTCTATTATGCACTCATTTCCATTTTTTTGTAAAGTGTGAACTATGATGTATACTGACCAATTTGTTTTGTTCGTCTTTTGGAATTATGATATTTTGTTAACTTTTTCAGCTGATTTTTTTTAATATTTATCGTTAGTTGTGTTATTGAATAAAATGAATGAAAAACATCAAGCTGGTATTTTATATAAATATCGGTGTGAAAGAAGGTTAAATCGAGGTAAGCAGTTGATACTATTTAACAGTTCGAAACTATATAATTTTCTTTAGAACGTTGCAATGCCAAGAGACGCCAGCAGAAGTATCGTCGCTCCTTACGTGTAACATTTGAACCAACGAATGAACTCAATCCTCAGTTGTTGAATACACCTACTCAAACAAATGATAGTGTTGTTTTAAATTATGTGCAAGAAGATTATGCTGATGATGAACAACAACAAAATATTTTTGCAGATGCAGATGATACTTGTAATGAGGCTTTTATTAGTGACGACGATTCTGATAGTTGCAATATTTATCATGGAAATTATTCATGCAAAACAATTTGTTCCACTATCACCGTGGATGATGTAAGTGAAGCAAAACTATCTGAAGATTTAGAAGAAAATGAAGAAAATAATAAATTGTCAAAATTACATCGATCTCCAAGTGATCTTATATATAAATTAGCAATGTTTATACGAGCAGCCAACATGAATAAAAAAATACCAATCGACTTTTAAAAATTATGCGAGAATTTTCCAACATGTAAGTTATTCTATTAACTCTTAATTATATTATTTTAAGTAGAAGAAAAGTTGTTTTATACGACCATTTTCCTAAATGATATTAGTTGTTGTAGGGAACAGAGACCGTCATCTCCATGGTAACAGGGCATAGGGTCGCTACTGTCGATGGGAAATGCAATAGACAGTAGCGACCCTATGCCCTGTTACCATGGAGATGACGGTCTCTGGTAGGGAAATCCCGGCGACTTGTCACAAGCTCTGGTTAGAAATGAATGTTAGATTTTCTTATAAAACAATAATTTGTTGTTCGTCTTGCTTTGAGAGACTCTCAAATTTTAAAGATAAATGTTTAAATAATGAATGTAAGAAAAAATCGCTGAAAATAAATTCTGAATTAATCTTATTCAATATATGTGATGAAATTCGACGTGTTGTGAGAATGAATTATCAATTAATTGAATGGTACCGAAAAAATCCAGATAAAGGCCCTGCTTGTGATATTTTATTTGGTATGTAAATACTTTCGTTTGTAAGATGTTAAAAAAACATCTGTTTTTTATTTCCTTCTAGGTGATTTTAACCAGCATCGTTTATCACAGAAATTAATAAGTATTATGATGTCAACCGATGGGAAACCATTAACAACATCAAATAACTCATCAATCTGGCCGGTAAATACAACTACTTAAAAATTTTGGGCTCATTCACATAGATTTTTTTGTCATAATTTATGATTCATTCTTTCTATATCAGGTGGTCGGTATGATTGCACAAATACCTCATCCCATCAGAGAGTATCAGAAGAACATTATGCTTTTTGGACTATGGCATTCATGTGTGTCTCCTAACCCAGATCGTTTGCTATCTTCCATTGTACATGATCTCATGGTTCTGCGTGCTGGTGGTTTAACGATCGATGTGGGAACAGAAAGTAATTAATAATACTTAGGTTTAACATAATGAATTCTATTTTGATTACCATTCATTGTACTCAATTTAACTCCACTTTTTTATTTAGATTTATTACATTTCGACATTGATGTGTTAATCGTTGGTGGTGACCTACCGGCCAGATCTAAATGTAATAAAATATCTGCTCATAATGGATTCTTCTCATGTACATATTGCTTATATGAAGGTGTGTCCTGTTCTGAGCATCGGCACGTCTTATATCCATATGTTGCTTTCAAGCAAATACGTCCACCACCACGAACAAAAGAACATATAGCTTATTGTGTTGAACAAGTTAAACAATCAAATACGAAAAATTTTCGTATGTATGGTGTATACGGATTATTACCATTAAGTTCTTTGATATCTATTCCAATCCAATCCACATTGGATTATTTTCATCTAGTGCTAGAAATACACCTTGCTTTTTTGCTTTCACATTGGAAAGAAATAATTCCGACGCCGATGCACATACAAGTGAATAAATTCTTGCTTGAAATTAGTTATCCTCATTCAATTAGTCGTCGACCATATGACTTTGTTTCGTCAGATAAATGGAAAGCATCTCAGTTGCGTCTGTTTTTATTGTATGTGGCTTTGCCACTAGCTGTTCGTTTTCTTCCTTCGAATCATCAATCATTGTTTTCTTTATTCTTTGTTTACGTACGAACGTTGCGTTTTTTTTACTCGCGTGAAGATGTAGTTGATATGCGCCTTTACATTGATAAATATCTTTCTGAATTTCCTTCAGTATTTAGTCGATGTAATGAACTTTATTCGGTCCACGCCTTATATCATCTTACTGAACAATGTTTTTCTTTTGGAGGTTTAGCCTATCATTCTATGTTCGCGCCCGAGAGCGCACTACACCATTTTTCAAAACTCGCACATGGCACAATATCTAGAGGTGCTCAGATAGCTTATTGGCATTGCATAAATCGTCAGATCGATACATTAAATGTCTCACCATCCCCTCAAGTATTTACTCAAAATTTTTTTCTGAAAGATAAACTGATTGATTCAAGAATATGGGTTGAATATGAAGAAGTTTTTCGTACACTTTTCCAGGAGAAATTTTTTGAGGAAGTACCTAAGAATCTTCGTATCTTTTCTCGTTTTCAATCAGGTTTTCATTTGTATCACTCTGTTTCGTATTCAAAAAGACAATCTTCGGCTAGTCATCGCGTTTCTATTGAGAATAGAAGATGTTCTTATTCTCGATGTTTTGGAGAAATTATTTTTTTTTTAATGTCAAAATCACATGTATTTTTTATTTAAACGAATGTTATGTGTTGATAAATTATTTTCTTCTTTTATTGAAAAACATTATTGTATTCAATCTTTGAGTTTTCGTCTCAATAATTATTTTTCTTTTGTTAATTCTGTTTCTTCTTCACTGTGTATTGTATCATGTACTTCACTTCGACATAAAACGATCTTTATTCCTTTTCTGAAGGAACTGTTTTTATGTACAGAGATTGAACACGAGCTTGAACATGATTGAAAAGACACTTTTTTCGTGTTGTTTCTTCCAGTGACATAATATGCCTTCTGTTGCTTGTTTGTATTATAGATGTATGTCGGATATACCTCGTCGAATAATATAACTCGAACTTCAAGTCAAATAACAACATCTCGAACGAACAAGTATATTGAACCACGTACACGTCGCAATATTGGGTCACATGAAATGTTTGATAATGATGCTGATCAATATGAATTTGCTAGTAAGTCCTACGTATTTATGCTTATTACGATATTATTTGTTTTAGCCGACGGTGCATTCAACAACTATTCTACACCGCAGGTGCAACGTCGTCGTCCATGTGTACAATCATGGACACAGTCTACAACTCATGTTTCAAAGTTTCAAGGTATCGTTTAGTTTTATATAGTTTGAAAATAATTGATGGTCTATTGTAGGTTCAGCGGCAAGTGTTTTACCAAAAAAAAGAAAGATTGATGAAGTTGTAGCAGTAGAAGATGTTGATGATCAGATAGAGAAGATTAACTTGCGGCTTGAATCGATTGAAAATAATTAAAAAGAATTTAGAAATGAACAAAAAGAAATGAACAAACTTTTGGAAAAAATTTATGAAGCTCAACTGCAAACATTATCTTATCAAAAACTTGTAAGCTTTTTCTTTATTATTGCAAATTGCTTTTCTCTAGTAATAAATTTGTTCTTTACCACGCTGTTTTGACATTTAGTAGCCAAAATATTTTATTTTCATTTTTTTACTCTGAATTTTTTTCTTTAGAATGTAACAATAACATCTGCTACAGATCTTCAACCGATCGTAAAATAAATAAATAACTTTTGATTACGTCTTGTGTTTTATTTCATTGATAGATCTTTAATGGAATTAATCTGATCGATACAGAACCACCTATTGAACCAACTGCGATGATTTGCTCAACAATTCGGAAACTGTATTCTTCTGATGAAATTCGAAATGGTATTCCATTCGATGAATGATTAGCAAAAGTTCAAGGTAATATTATTTTCATTTAAAAAAGTGTCACAAATAAGAAATTTTTTTTGTAGAGGTCATTAAAGAAACATATTTTAAAGACAAGCCTATCGAATTCGAGGTATTCTGGAAGAAACAAGGGAAAAAGACCATCAATGGGCAAAAAAGAAGTTCTTCCAGTCGTCATAAGCAAAAACGGTATATAATTTTCATTTTATGTAAAGCACACTATCATCTATTTCTTTTTAGGTTGAGACAACTTCAAGAACAGGAAAACAATTATTAAATGTTCCTGATAATTTGATCTTTTTGTCGGATCTATGTGTGATATTCTGGTCAAATGTTTCTCTTAATTGTCTGACCTTTCCTGATATACGTGAATTTATTTCGATGTATTCTTTTTTTCTGTGTCATTGTTTTTTGTTATTCTTCAATTTTTTTTTCTGATTATTTATCTCTCTTTATTGTGTTAGATTACTTTGATATTATCTTTTGAAAAGCTGTGGTGAATTAGATTTTTTATAACTTATTACGATAATAAAAAAACTTTGACAAAGAAATTTCTAAAATTTTATTTTGAACACAGTAATATGTTGAAACACGGAATAATTCATTTATAAGAGGAAAATTGACCAATAAATAAATATTTTGATTGTAACGACACTGTACAATGTGATTGGGTCTGTACGTGTGACGGCATGAAATATACACGTTACGTTCCGTTACGTTCCTCATGCGTACGACACGAGATGTACGAACGGTGTACGATATATAGCGACACGCGTTCATTGGCCGTTCTTAATAACATGGGTTGACAGAAGAACAAGTATTGTTACATAACGACATCTATAACTCATTATGAGCAAGCGTTTTTTTTTTGTTCATATTCATGTGTTATATGTTGCGTTTCATAATAATGTCTTGCTATTATTCATTTAGATTATCTTTGATTAAGCATCTTTTGAATGTTCTGTTCCACAACCTATTCCTAAAGTGGTCTCCTGAGGATGTTAACTAAGGCATTATTTTTCTCAATGTGCTATATATTCAGGTAACAAAAATTCTAATTAAGGTAATCCAATATCAACTTTTTGAGATTTTCTTTATTCAAATATTGTGAGTGATGCTGTTACCTCGGTTCAATATTATTTGTTAGTCGAGATGAAGACTTAGTATTTCAATTCTAT